GTGATAAAACCTTTTGCTTTCTTCACTGTGCTGCAGTTACACAGCTCTAATGGCCACTAGCATTTCATCTCATCTTGTCCTACACAAATAACTTTTTACTACATTATTTGTTAGTTGTTTAAAAAAATTACATTTTGACATCTTTGTGATGATTTTAAGTATTTTTAAATTATTTCAGTATTTCTAAAAACTGGAAGATGTTTTTGTCAAGTTTTGATCCATAGAGGGTGCAAGCCTGAGAAACTTTGACTGAAAATAAATTAAATGAGTAAGTTTTCTAACAGAAAAGCCCAAATAATTGTAACATATAAAGCATTTTGCTAGGAATTAGTTTCAGTAACTGAAATTATCACAAGCTATAAAATGCAATTTACAGCACCATAGTTTGAACAGGATATCTCCCTCTTTTTATGCTGTATCATTAACAGGAAACAGAAAATGAAGCCTCAAACATGGACTTTAAATACTCACAGTGGACTAAATCTAGAACCACTATAATAAGCTATAATTACCCTGCCCAGCTAAGTTTTCTTACCATTTATACTTCGGTAAATCAGTATTTTAAAGACTCTATTATAAATGCATAATAGACTGAAATCACTGACATACTAATGTTTAAGAAAAAAGTAAGTTATACTCTGAAAATAAGACTTGATAGATTTTTGTGTGGCAATAATGCATGCAGTTTTTCTTGACATAGTTTCTTTACATATTTCACATATGAATCTAAATTTTTATTTTAGTTACAAGTCATCTTTTTTCCCTCTAATCTTCAGTTACATCTATGTGCAGTTTCTACTTCAATGTTTTACTGGTATTTTCTATTCCAACTACTTTTAAAAACTTCGGAATGAGAAATAAGTGGAAATAATTCTGTATTAGGTAGAATGCCCATCCCTGTCAGATGTCACAGGTACAAATAAAAAAACTACATGTCTTTTAATGACTGTTCTTTGATCAAGTATCACCCCTTATTACTGTCTTTCATGTTTGCATACATAAAAAAGTAGGAGTTAAGGCAGAAATTACTGCTTCAGTTCAGAAAATATATTTAAATACTTACTATTCACATTGGTAATAGTTATGGTATACTAATTGTATGACTACAGGTATGGTATACATCTCAGAGCTAAAAATGAACACCAATAATGAAACAGAACCAAAGCAACAATTACATGAGATGAAATTAATCAAGCCCCACAAGCGTATGTCTTGAAAACTATTTAATTTTTTTTTCACTGTGTAGCTTGAGCACAGATCCAGCTAAAATAACTTCCCGATTCAAAGGTGACTAATCTCTGAGCAGAGACCAGGCATGTGAGAGCTGCTGAATGCATACATTCTAACATATAAATAGAAATTTACTGCGAAGCAGACTCAAATTCTTGATGACACTCATTTGCAGAATAGGTAAATTGAAATGAAGCAAAAGTTTGCCATCACTAACACAAGTGCCACACTGATGAGATTAAAATCACAATATTTCAAAAAGGTGTATTTTACCCCTATTGAAAGAAAAAAGAGATATTCTCGCTAATAAAGCCAATAAGATAAAACTCATTTTTGCCTGACTACAATGTAATCTCAACAGCAAGAAAAGTTCAAATCCACTAAAAAGCCTGTGCTAATATATGCAGCACTGATGTATACTAGCTATTGAATGTCTGAAGATACATTAGTGCTGTCAACAGACTGTTAGCATGTCCCATTTGATGAACTTTCAGCAAGTCATGAATCTGAACATGCTTAAGAAATCAGTATTTTATAGCAGAAAAAAGGTTGCATTTAAACTAACTTCTTTTTTTAGGAAAGATTGTTTCATAGAACGGTAACAGGAAAACTCCTAGGTGCCTACATTGCTTTGGTGTCCTGTTAATTAAACCTCACTTCCCAATCCATTTTTTTCTAACGTTGCAGTCAAGAGACTGGAGAATAAGTTAGGAGGCTTCTCTTAATCATGCTCGACTTCAGAATTTCACAAATGAGCAGAATTCTGGTTATCTAACAGTTCAGAAATGAAGTGATAGGTAATTACTTTTTTTCCCCTGCAGACACCTCAGCTGTGGAACCACACAAGAATCATTACATTTCTAAAATTTATACAATATTATAAAGTTGGTGATGGGAAATTTGTCTGTCATCAGAATGCAGCCAACAATGAGCATTATGATCCATTCCCAAAAAGCATACTGTAGCCTTTTAACCAGAGCAAGACTGCATGTCAACAAAATTTGGGATACTTATTATAGCAGAATGTAAGAATGTTAGTCAAGAGAAAACATTAAGCGTGTTAAGCACATACTACTTCAACATCTCTCAACGAACCTAGTAGCTATGTATGCTAACGAAAGGCATTTCCTTCCCTATGAGGCTGCTCAGTAACACTAATCATTTGTCCCATCACAGCCTGGTTTAAGATTAATTGACTGAAAAATGAAGCTTCGTACACTACATTTAGCTTACTATATTACATTCATTATCACAAGTCTGCTTCTGCTTCTTACCATGTCTTCTACATTAGGATTGGTAAATAATCTTACTGAGCTCATGACAGATCACATGAATGTTCAACTAATATATTTCTGTAAAAGGTCCGACTGAAATTCACCAACAAAAAAATAAGTTCTCTATGAAATATGGCAGGAAGTTGGCAGAAGGACATAGGAAAATAATTATTTGCACCCATGTTCACCATAAAGTAATTTAGGACTGCTTCACACTTGGATGCTAATTTACATGGAATATAGTGGAGAAAGCACTTCAACTTCAGACACCACTGGAAGAAGACATGGAATAAATCAACAAAATAGTAACAATTCACCCTTGCTGGATGCAATTAATTTAAAACATCCAAAGGAAATCAAGTATAAAGTTGAATCACCAATGTAATTGTTGTTAGTTTTTAAAATAATCTTACTTTTGGCCCAAAAAACTTCCTGAAGTTCTTTAAAAAAGTAAAGAAAACTGACCTAAGTCTAATTTTCTACTTGGATTTGAAATGCCTTACAGGAAAGCTCCATACTAGGAGCTCCTAAAGAAACCCAGTTGCTGTATTTTCAAGGGAGAAAAAATCTTACAGTTACAGAATTGCTTTAAATGTAAGAAATAAATAATAGCAATAAATGCTTAGTTTACTCAGTGGGAAAGAGTTACCTGTAGTGTCCCACATGTTCAAGAAACATAGGAAGACCTCCCACCAGACCAGGTTGCTCAACACTTTACCCAACCTGGCTTTGAACACTTGCCTGGTCTGGGGCATCCAGAACCTCCCTGGGTAACCTGTTCTAGTGTCTTACCACCCTCAAAGTAGAGAATTTCAACCTAATTTTAAATTTCTCCTCTTTCAATTTGTACCCATTACTCCTTACCCTGTCACTACAGTTCCTGACAAAGAGTCCCCCTCCAGCTTCCCTCTACATAATGGAAAGTTGCTGTGAGGTCTCCATGCAACCTTCTCTTCTCCAGTCTGAATAGCCCCAACTTTCTCAGTCTGTCCTCGTAGGGTACAATCCTCCTATCAACTTCTTGTCCCTTCTTGCTCCAACAGTTTCCTCTCTGTGTTGTGTTGGGGACATGAGAACTGTACACATCACTCCAGGTGGGGATCTCACAAAAGCAGAGCAGAGGGGGAGAATCTACTAAACTGTCACACAATATCCATGTTTGGCAATAAAAAAATCAAATCACATGACAAAATAAACTGCAAAGAACTTCTCAGAGCCATACAAGATGATGAAAGCTGAATGATTTATTGAGAAATACAGCCTGAGAATGCAAAAACTATGATCCAAAGCTGTGTGGACACTGTTTATAACGTTTTAAAAAAATCACTAAAATCTTCTAAAAGCAAAACCCCTAAATTTCAAGACTCAGAAAGAGGATTGGAATATAACAAGAGGTAAACACTTCACAATACTTAAAAGAATGTATTTTATCATTCGTGAAACAGAATTGTTGCATTACTAGATTAACTGGTACTTAAAAAACCATGTAAGTACAGAATAAGAATCTTACAACAAATAAAGTTGGAACATTAATTCTGGAAAGACTATCAGAACAAATTCAGGAGATACTGCATTCCATATTTTTGTTTTACAGCAGATTACTATTTACACAAACGGAATTATTCACTATGGAGGTTTTTTAATATTCAACTTCCTTTGGGCTCATGAATACAATCGTTGATTGCAGACCTACCTTACCTCACCATGCTAAGCAAAGTTTTATCTTTAACATGCATTATTACCTTAATTATTTTCACTTCTCTCCTTAATGAAGGGCAAGAGTGTTAGTAAAACTGAAACTCACATGTACACCTCACTGATGTATCTATGGAAGAAACTAAGCAACAGCGTTTACAAAAACAATGTGGGTAGATAATTTCAAAGCCTTTCAAACTCTCTTAGGGTCGTAAATTGGCCTTTGGAAAATGTCAAGAGTATACACATAAGACCTGGTACACTTGCAAAGTTGGAGGCCCGTTAGATGGATGTATTTATTGTAATAGTTCCAAATGGTACACTAAAGCTTAGAAAGTTTTAGATAAATGCTTCTCCCCACCATAAAACTTTCTTTACATCTATGATATCAAATTTATTTGCATGGTCAGGAAAAGTGTAACAAATCAGAAACAGTACATTTCATTTTCATAGAGGAAATTCAGAAATTTCATCGTTTTTTCAGTGAATTTGTTTTCAGTAAGTTAGGTTTTATATGGTTTTATTTTTATTTTTGGTGTCTTTGTTAGAGAATATAAATATGAATCTTGTTGAATAGTGACAGCATTACTCTTTCTTTTCCCTATGAAAGATTTAATTGTGAAGTAGTTTTAATTAGCAACAGGAGAAATTGTTACAGTACTGCAGCAGCATAGTTGCATGCTTGTTTTTAAAAAAAAAACCTAAAAACAACACCAAACTGCAATTTCCTTTAAAACTCTCTGATAGAGAAGCTTAATTTAAACGAAGAAACAACTTTTATTATTCTAGAAGACGACTCACCTGTACCTGATATTTTGGAGAAGAATTCTGATGTACTCCATTTGAAGCGTTATGTGCTTCCTGAAGCTGCACTTGCAATAGACAAATTTTTTTATCCTTTTCAAGTAACTGATCCTGAAGAGAGGCACAGCTTTGCTGCAGTTGAATTTCACTTGTTTTAACAGTTTCAAAACATAAACTCAACTCGTTATAAAGCTATGAGAGGAGAGAAGAGAAATAACAGGATTAAAAATAACTCCATTGCAGATAACCACATTAGTACAGGAAGTATAATTTAAGTAACTTATCCACAAAGATCACATTCTTTTTTACATTTAAAAATTTGTTCACACTTGTCCTCCTGACTCCTATCAGTTCTATACATTTCAAGATTGCAAGAATCACTGAAACTTTAGGTTTGAAATAAGTTTTCCAGAAAAACACAGCTCACAGTAGAATATTATCAGTTTCAGTTGCTTCTTTATAGCATTTATTGATAGAAATGGCCATCTAAAAATCAGGATTCATTTTACTTCTTGAACAGTTTATTTAAATACAGAAAATACAAAAGGAAAAGAAAATTCATTACATTATTAAAATATCTGTTCAGGGAATTAAATTAAAGGAAGAAAAATACCAAATACTATCCTTGTCTTTTATACTTTCATCTTTTAAAAGTAATATTTTAAATATCATCATCATGGCTAGGCTTCGCGAACGAAGATTTGTGAAGGGTTCTGCCCACACTTGCTGTAAGTGCGCTGATGATTTTAAATATAGCTTAGATAGAAATACAATGAATCTACTAATGCCTATTGCATTTTGTCTGAAGTGTAAAATGGTTGTTTAAGAAATTAACACAAGATATTTTACTTATAAAAACACTATTTTACTCTTCATTTTACCCCTTGTGTTGCCAGTTTTATTTAAATTATACAATCCTTTCTCCCTTTCATCTATTTACATCACTTAGAAGTAAAGTCTTTGAAAAACAGTCACAACTTCTCTAGTGATACACTGTCTACCTAACATTTTCTGAGAAATTTGAAAATAATAATCTCCCCTTTCCTTCCTTCTAACACTTTCTACTCCCATGGTCTCTCAAAATCCACTTAGGACAAAGTAAATTACTTCTTGCCTATTTCCAAGGCAGATCAGAGATCATGTCTCTCAGGTAAAATTAATTCAAAATCCAGATAGATTGATATTTCAAATGGCTCCAAGTCATTAAACACTTGCATTGAAATTTCTGTGCCTACTGAATCTTTCTTTTTTATTTAAGAATGCTTACATCATCTCTAGAAATGTACAAGATTAGCCAATTTCTTATGGAAATCAGTCAGTATCTCCCATGAAAATAAACAGGTCATTTATCAAAAACATGCATTTTTAGATAATGTCCTTCCAAATGAATGGAACATCAAGACACAGTTACTTCCAGCTGTAACTATATAAGCTCATTAGCTAGATCATACTGGTATGACAATTTGCTGTTTTTATGACTAGAAGTACTTAAATGGTTGTAATTATAATATCTGAAAGGTAGCATCCTAGTAAGATGAATGGAGAACATCAAAAATATGATGCCTTTTCCTAGTTGGCAGCCACATCCCCTAATGTAGCTAATGGGTATTTTTGGTAGTGAGTATTTGTCAGGACAAGACAAATAGCACATCTTTTGACTTGCACAAACTTTTCCAACCTTTCCAGCTTTGAAAACAGTACTGAAACACAAAACACATATATTTCAAGTATAAAACAAGCTAAAAGCTATGTGCAAAAAAACCATTCATACCATTCATCTCTTTACAGTAAAGTTTACATATATTTTTTAAACACCATCAATGTACCATTTAATAGCACACAAATTCTTTTTTTAAGGAATTTAACATCAGGAATTTTAAAAATTAAAATTATCTATACAAAAATAAATAGTTTCATCTACCGTCCACAGATAATGGGAGCAGCTTCCAAATTTGGATGCCCATCTTTTCTTTTACTGTTTTGTGGATTAATGAGTACCTAATGTTTATATTGATTATTTTGGGGTTTACTGCTCATTTCTGACCCTGTTTTAGAAGAGGCACTACAATTAATCACATTGCAGTAAGCACATTGTAAAATACAAACACATTGCACAGCACGATGAAATAGGTCTATCATTAATAAAGAAAATCAGATGTAGAAAACTAACGTAAAATGGAGACCAGATGATTAGAGAAGGAACATTGCATGGAATAGTCAAAGAAAGACAAAAATATTGTAAATTATTTATCTCAGAACAAGCAAGCTTCACAGAAGAAATGACTGGAATCTTGACTGTACCTATATGAATGGTTATTCCTTACCTGAATGTCAACAGGTCATGAGGTTTACCCAGTAAACTTGGTAACTCCCCAACAAGGTTATGAAAAAATATTTATGTTTACAAGATAGAAATAAAAAGGGAAATATTTAAAATAATTATTTATAACATTTTATGACACTTGGTATTTGGAAAAAGAAAGTATTAGCAAGTGACACAAAACTGCTCTGCAAAAACTGTTGCACTGACTATACTTTGAGAATCTCTTTCTAAGGCATTACAGCTGCCCTTTCTTTGACAGGCAGCACAGATTATTGCAGGTGAAGGTACTTAGAAACAAATGAGAAAACATTAGAAGTATCTGAAATCAGTACACTGTAATAAATTTAATCTGTATGACACAAGAGCAGTATTCATCAGTCAGAAAGAGTAACTTAGCTGAATTGCAAAAAATAAAGCATCCCATATTTCTTAGCTATCCTAACAATTTTCTATATTGATTTCCCTGATTTCACCAGAAAAGACTTTTTGGTACACCTTTGAAGAGTTACTTAAAACAGAAAACATAATGCCATCAAGTAAATTAAAAATATCCAACCAAAGCCAGGAATTCCAGAGCCAAAAAATGGAACTCTAATGCCTGCTCATATGCAATAGAAAACATTTAACAGCCTGATATTGTGGGATGAGGAAGTACTACTGATATACATTAAATACGTGTTATGGCAAAATTAACTTAGATCAGACCAAAGAAAGCTGAGGGATTCCAATAAAACCCAGTAAAATTAAATAATTAACATATGCTATTTATCATATGGTATGTTAGACAGAATCACAGTGCAGCTGGAAAAAACCCTGCAGAGTGAAATAGTTGAAACAAACGACCAACAATAACAGTATAGAAGTGTGTAGGATTTATTTTAAACTGGGTTTAGATGGCTCCTGTGCACTACATGCCATCTAATAGCTGGGGCATACTTTTCAGTTCAAAAATATTTTCCACTTCCATAATCCAAAAGGCATTTAGTTATTAGTCTCATGAACTTTTCTATGGTATTAACTAAAGTACAGGGAGTGGAGCCATTTAGGAGACTTTCTTCAAAATTTCCCGTGAGGAACTAACACTAAGGTAGATCCATCTAATAAAATGTAACAGTAGCCATATATATGCACTCGGTATAAAACAAATATTCTCTGACATTAAATGTTTTATCTAAATGCTCACACCCTAAAAAAGTGTATAACAGAGACCTGAGTAAATAAAATCATAGAATCACTAGAGAGGTTGGAAAAGACCTTCAAGATCATCAAGTTCAGCCTTTGACCAAAACTCATCATGTCAACTAAAACATAGCACTCAGTGCCATGTCCAGTTTTTTAGGAACCAAAACATACAGTAATACTGACCATATAGTAATCACACAAATTAAAAAAAAGTTAGTCTAAATTAAGACATACTAAAACTATAATGGAAATTATCACAGCACCATTGCAGAAAGCCATGTTACAATCCATGCCGTTTATGAGGACTCAAAAAGAACAAGGACATCTGCTGGTAAAGCTCTAGGGTGTAGTTGAAGAGGCACTCCAGACAGATTGTACATAGCCCTTTCAAGATGTTTAGTTTTATTTTATTTATAGATTATTAATTTTTTCCCCAAATACTTGAATATTCTGCAGATACCAATCTACACCACCACACACAGGAACTACTGTAAACTAGGAGTATTAGTACAGGGTTTTTCAAGCATGAAAATCAGTGCCTGCGAGTGCACAATTTAACATTACCCTCAGAGAACCAGAGTCTACCCAGGATTTATTCTGCTTTAGCCTACAGGCACATCTGATGCAAAAATTTACTTGCTAGCATGTGTCCAACTGTACTGATGTTTGGTACACAAGAAACAAAGACTGAGCTAATTAACACACTTCCCAACAACAGAAAACAGTATCTGAGCTTGAACTGAAATGCGTGAATCTGTTGAAGATCTGAGTTCCTCACAACTTTCACATAAAAAGTGGACTAGAAAAATGATGCTTTACTTATTACTGGTGTGGGTATCACCATATTTGACTGGACAGATAGTTTTTATCGTGTGTGGAAGAACTTACGCTTTTCATTAAAAATGAGTAAGAACCTGCATTGTTACTACCCTTTACAGTTTTTATTTTGTGAATTTGATGCTGCTTTCATAAAAATAAACACATTTATGTATTTTTAACTAGTCTTTAAGGTTGTTGAAGTTACAAAAAATACTAGACGTGGTAAAATTTAACCTTAATATGGTAAATACAGTAACTTGATGTACTGATTACAGTTTCTCAGGCTTGAAGAAAAGCTATCTCTACACACTGACACACTAGCAAAGACAACTAAAGGTAAAAAATTAACATCTGAAAATGTATCTATCACTTTCATGTTTTTCATCTACTTGCTGGTGTACTTGACGCAGACTTCCACAATGCCTCCTAATTGAAAACTCTTACTGTGTTTTCTAATTACACCAAAAATCTAACTCCTGAACAATGTTTTCTTCATTACAGACTTGTACTATATCATTATCCACAGTATTCTCTACTTAAGAGCCGAGTTCTAGGACATGAATTATCATTTCCCATTGAATGACAAATTACTTGAGTATTTCTGCTCGACTAGAAAGGCCCTCCATTGAAAGACTTAATCAGTGTGATTAACATAGGTCCGAAAGGCCACATCAGATCAAGCGAAAGTACTGCGTTATAAAAACAAGGGCCTTATATTGTAACTTTCAGAAAACTGTGATAAGCAGGCTAAGGACTTCAGAATCTCTCCTTGTCTTATTATCCCTAGTATTGATTGAAATCTCTCCACCTTGAAATTGTTGGTGAGGACAAACCTATGGAGTCTCATTAAATCCAGCACAGGAATGAAGTCCCCAGAGCATCTGGGACCACTAAAACAGATGCTATACATTTTAGAAAAATATTCTCTATCCTCGAGAATGTGAACTACACGGCAACATGAAATAGATACCAATTTGTTTCCATAAAAGCTCTAATGTAAAGGAGTTACGTAGAACACAGTATCCTTAAAATTTGCACTTAAAAAAAAAAAAGTAGGACGTCAAGTCAACGCAACTAGATAAAAGAGATCACAGCTCTTTACATGCTGCTCACTACAGCTAGACTTGGAAGAGAATTTGTGGTCTTGACTGGATTTACACATAATCCAGTGTAAGTTTATGACCTTGGTCAGGTTTATTAGAAAAGTTTTTTTCTTTTTTTCAGTCCACTGTTTCTTACTACACATTAACATCAGTACAAAGATCTGTTCTTCTCAATTGGTAGACTGTTAATATGAACTTGGAATGTGTGAGCCAACCACACTGCCTGAGCTATAGCATATACTGCCTATCTGAGCAGAGAGGTCACTGATCTTGCGGTAGGGGACAATATATCACAGGATGTACATGCTGATAGGCTCAATGCCATTTGAAGCAGTACAAAAATATTCCTTTGTGACTGTGTTTATGGAGTAGCTGACACATCCTTATCTAGCTGTTGCAGCCTGCATATTATTAATACAGGGAAGACAAACAGAACAAACATTTGTCTGCAACAGTTTGCCTTTCTCATTCAAGGAGGAAAACAGACTTTCGTATGATTTCTATAGATACTGAGTTTTCCAAACACCTGCTGTGACTTCAGTAGAACTGTGTATGTTGTTTTGAAAAATGCACATTACTTTGAAGCAAATACAGTTGGGTGTTTTACACAATTCTGATCAGAAATACAGAACATGATTGTCATGATAAAGGAATTTGTTTTCCCTTCCAAATTTCTCAACTTAATTTGCCACAAACATTATAAACTCTATTCCACACCAACTTCAGGAAATTAACTTCTCTTTTTTTTTACTTCTCTTTCTTTTACCTTTTTTTTTTTTTAAACATATTTACATTTTACCTACATTCTCTCTTTTTTTCATTCTATAATTTACTTTGGCTTGCCCCAAACAGGTGAACTCCTGTTGCCTCGTATATGTTCTTAACAACTTTAGTGGAAGTCTGCCTGTTGCTTAACTGGATTACTGTTGCAATGCATGAGACTTAATGTCTGTCATCACCACAGTCAATAGTAAACTGCAGAGCTTTGTAGGGTGGGGGGCATTTTCTTCCTTTTTATATACGGGAGCTCTTTATGCTGGTATTCCACAAAATTTATAATTCCACAAAATGTATAATGCAAACTGCATCACACAGTACAGCATTAAGTACACAAAAATGTGCTGGGCACTATGAGCTATAAAATGTTAATCAAAAACACCTTTAGAAACCTAGTACTGATTCTGGGTTGACTGAGGCCTAGCTGCACAATTTTATCACAAACTGCATACTCTAAATAAGATGACAAAGGGAGACACCTTTAGGACTGGCACTATACAATTCGCAAAAGTAGTTCCAAGATGGTAAAAAGTGTATGAAAATTATATATACAACTTGTTACTTGTCTTCTTCCTTCTCAATTTGTTATAAACTGAAAAACACATGCATACAACTTGGTAACCTAAAAGAAGTTCTGAGTAGTGCATGTGTGACAGCTCTTCAGGGTTAACATTTTCCCTGACAGTCACCAAAAATATGAGACTGTTCTTTAAGAGTAAATATTTTGAACTCATTAACCATTAAAAAGATATTATAGCAACATTTTTTCCAGTTAATTTTGATAGAGTAGGTTTTCACATCTTAAATCACTAAAATTATTTGCGACTCTCAAAAATATACTGTTTACAAGTATTAGGAATTTCTTCCACCACACTAAGAAAAGCAATATGGAGAATTCAGTACCTAAAATCTCCTGTCCTCCAGGAGAGGAAGAAATAAACAAAAACATGACAAAAAGACAAATTACAAAATTACATAAAGAAATTTATATACTTAGCAACTTATTTCTATTTTTCTTCAGATGCAACTAAATCTTAATTTTTAAGGCTCATCAATCCAGTGTATGCACAGGGTCATATATGTTGGTATGTACTGAGCCAATAAACTCTGCTACTCAACCGTACTTTTGCAACACTAAATATATAGATATAAATAAATATATTATATTATATATTATTGTATTATATATTTTATATATTATAAATATATAAAGGATACAACACTTCAAAGTGCTTTGATTACTCTGTCCACTGATATTGTACAGATGGGTAGTAAAATGAACCCTGTGATCTTAAAGCAGAATAACATACTTTTTGATATAATGTTATTTCAGCTGTGTGAGCATCTTCTTGGTCTTTCACTACTTTTTGGGTATTAGCATTGAGAGCCTGAAGCTGCTTTATCAGCTCGGACTGCTGTGCTGTATATTCAGTGTTTTGTCCACAAAGGTTCTGCAGCTCCTGTAATTCCTTCCTGTGCAAAAATGAGCAATAAAAAGAAATTTAGAAAAAGAATGAAATCCATTAAAAAAATTGTATTCAAATAATTTTATTGTAGATAATGAGCTTTCTATTTTATTTTTCTGCCAATTGCCTCGCAAACACCAGGAGTTACATACAAAATATCACAATTTTTTGAGAAATATCTACAAAACAGTTTACTTTTAAATTGGAATGCTTTTCAACTTCCCTCTAATGCATTAACTGTTCTAAAATAAATGGATTTTCACTACTGCATTGTTTTCTAATCAATATTCAGTTAACTCTTTAACAATGTAAAAATCTAAAATATGTAGAACACATCGACTGTAAAATAAGTTTAATTTTTTTAACTAGAACTATCAGAAGGAGATACAAGTTTTCCTTAACTTTCAGGGTATGTTCAAAGCAAGTCTCTTTTCTGAAATGCATCTGCTCCCTAGACACACAAAGTATGTTTGTTGATATTTTGTCTGCACATACAGCATACTGCAACAACCATAAGTAAAATAAGCAAAAACTTTGGTGTGTATTATATAAAATAATAAAAAGCTCTAGAAAGACAATAATAGGAATCACATTGTAACATAACCATAGGACAAAGCTGCTATAATCAGCCTGCTTGATAATTTAACTGTACTGCTGATGGATTTTCTAACCTAAGAACAAAGATAGTAACTATTACTTATTATGAACAATGATTAAAAACTTAGAATATTTTCTGTAATATATATTAAAAGTTCAGATAACTCAATCCCTATTTACATATTTTATGCTTCGTTCACTTTTTAATTCACAAGCATATCTCATAGTAGTATTACACACAGATACTGAAATATACATTTAGCACTCCAATTAATTTTCTTCCTTACTTCCTCAAAGAATTGTGTCTGTAACCTCCAACACAAAAGTATCATCTTTTTGCCCAGAATAATTATTTATGACAGGAGTTATCATTGCAATTTTATAATACTGCTGAGATGTCCGGGCAAATATTAGCATACAAAAGGTAAGCAGAAATACCAACTTCATTGTGTTTCCCAAAGAAAACGCAGAATGAAAAAAAAAAACTTTTAAGGGAACTTTCCAAAAAACATTCCTGGAGACCTTTGTCACTATGTAATAGGACAGTAATTCAATAAACATACATCTAAATAATTACATTTAAATTACACAGACCCCAACAGGATAGTCAAAAACTTAATTTTGTTAAAACGCACTGTTTAAAAAATCCTGTTAACAGACCAACACAGGATGACACTTAACATGCTTACTAGGACTTAACAGTAAGCCCTACCATTCTTCATGAAATGTAACATAGTTCTCCAAAGTTAACAAGGGCAGAAGTATATTAAAGACATTAAGAAAACCAAAGTACAACTGCAGAATGTGCTTCATATGTACTAATTTAATTCTGCTCAGAAGCACAGCAGCAGAAACAAGAACACAGTGATATATCTGCACTTTCTGACAGATGTACAACAGGTCCCCAAACAAGCAGTTCAAGTAGAAAATGACAAAATTTTTCAATGCAGTTAAAACACAGATTATATTAATTTTGCACAGGTTCTCCAATCAGATCTTTGTTTTGTTGTGAAAAACACAGGATAACACTGAATCCTTAGATACTGCCGGAAATGTTGGTAGTAACTATTGCCAAAACCAGTCTGCTATGTTGCTGTTCTTTAATTTGCATGCAAACATCAATGCAGTTATCTGTCACCCAAGAATGCCCAATATTATGTGTTCTTTAAAGGTCTGCCCACAAAGTGTATTAAGGTCTTTTTTTGTTGACTTTTGTCAGGCTTTGAGTGAAATCCTTGAGGGGAGAGGATAGGGGGGAAAGCTAAACATGAAAAACTGCAGCACAGTCAGAACGTTTGCTCATGTTAAATCCAAGGATTTCCAAGTGTAAGGAAACCCTGTCACCACCATTACAACATATTTTAAAAATCAAACTTTATTTATTCAGATACGTACTTTAACTTGCTTTCCTCTTCAGTGAATGAGGCACTATTTTTACATTACAAATAAATGGGGGATCCTTCTTTTATTTCATTTTTACAGAGGAAAAAGGAAATTAAGCTTATCCTACCAAGAATTATTCAGTACCAATGATGCAATATAAATAAATACACAGAATTAAGCACCTTTGATAACAGACAGGCCAACTTGATGATGGGAACTTTAAAGTAGGAATGGTAGGGGACAGCGACTGATGAAATAACAAGTGAGGAAGCTGTGGACTGGGTTAGCAAGCAAGAGACACAGGTAGGTATGGACAGAAAAGACCTTCTGATGAGCAACAGAATGCTCAGGGAAGACTATCTCCACCATATGCACATAAATAAGGGAGTGCTGATAGTATGGGGGAGGTTCTTAAGGGTCTTCCTTGGAAATAAACACAACTGGGTACCCATCTGAAGTTGCTGTTCAAATGCACATAGCACACCCCCATGGAAAATCCCTGGAGGAATAAGAGATCTGTCTGCAGTTGCAGGGCTCATTGGGATCATAGAGACAAGCTGGTACAATTCACATGACTGAAGCACTGACATGGATGGATAGAGGTTCTTTAGGAAGAACTATGTTGAAGAAGAAGGGTCTGGGAAACTACCAGTAATCCTTTAATCCCTGGGAAAGTGATGAATCATACAAAGGACAAGATAATCACTGGGAGTGGTCATAAGGAATTCACAAAGTGGAAACAATGCCTAACTGGCCTGGTAGCCTTCTCTGATGAAATTACTGTCGTGGTGGATAAGAGGTGAGCAGTGGGTGCAGTTTGTTTTGACTGCAGAAAGGCTTTTGACATTGTCTCCCATAAAATGCCTGTAGATGGACTGGTGAAGTACAGACAGTAAGTTTCCCTAGAACCTGGCAGAACTACCAAGTTTGAAGAGTTGTGATCAGCAGTACAAAGTCCAGTTGGAGGCCAGGCACTTGGGGAGCATCCTAGGGGCTAACACTGGGGCCACCATTTTGTAACATCTTCATTAATGATCTGGATAATGGCACAGAGTGCACAGTGGCAATTTTGCTGATGACAAAAATGGGGGGTGGTAGGTGTTTCAAACAGATGTTTGTGCCTGCCACTGAGAGGGTCCTTGACAGGCTGGACAAATGGCCTGAAGCTCAACAAAGACATGTGCAAATTACCAGCCCTGGGGAGCAATAACTCCATGTAAAAGCACATTCTGGGGACTGACAAGCTACAAAGCAACTTATCAGAAAGTGCCTTGGGGATTCTGGTGGACACCTGATTGACCATCAGTCAGTGATGTGGCCTTATGCCAAAGGTCAGTGACATCCTCAGCTGCACGGAGAATAGTGCTGCCAGTAAGGGGAGGGAGGTGATCCTTCCCCTCTATTCAAAAATTTTATGGCACATCTTGAAGCTGTGTCTGGTTCTCGCCAGTAAGGGAGAGACATGGAAATAACAGACTGAGCTCAATGGAGGACCATAAAGACAATGAAAGTATTGAAGCATCTGCTATACATAGAGAGGCTGGGAAAGCTGGGGCTGCTCAGCCTGGAGAAGGGAAAGTTCAGAGGTGTATTATCAAGATGTATAAATACCTGATGGGAGTCTAGAAAGAAGATACAGACAGACTTTTCTAAGTGATGCACAGTAACAAGAAAAGAGTCAATTAGTGCAAATAAAAAACAGATGAAATTCCAGTTAAATGTAATAAAGTGGTTTTGTCCTTTAAAAGTGGCCAAACAGTGGAAAAGACTACCAAGAGATGTTCCAGAGTCTCCATTCTTGGAAAGACTCAAACTCAACTGGACAAAACGATACTGGGTAGCCCTGTTGTAACTGATACTGCACGAGTAGAGGGCTGCGCCTGTGTAACACTCCAACACTGGCAGCTGCCAGCCCATGGACTCAGCCAGGAGTTTTACTTTAAAATACAGAGACAGTGTCAAGAGAATAAGCCACAGACTTGTTCCCAAAGAGTTTCTTTATTAATTTTGCAGAGAAAATAAGGGAACTTGGCAAAGGTTCAAAATCGGCACTACCCAAGCTAGACAAGATGTTGCACCACAATAGCAATCCAGCACATATTAACCCACAACCACTGAGGTAAAAATCCAGTAAGGAAAGAAAAGGAAAAAGGAAAAGAAAAAAAAAATCCTTGACTTAGGATAAACACAACTTAGCATAAAAAACCCACATCAGTTTGTTGTCAACACCATTCTCATTCCAATGAGACAGCACTGTCCAAAACACAGCACTATAACAGCTACTAAGAAGAAATTACCTACAGCCTATCTGAAACAAGGACACAGGGAGACAGAGCAGCAGGGAGAATAGAGACATTTGCAAATAAGGTCTTTTTCAGCTCCAGTAAGAATACAACATTTTGAGAAATTTGAAGTTCAATGATTTGGCCCACTCAGACTATCCTAAATGGAAATCACCAAGCAGTAATTTTTCTTACCTTGATTATACAACCTTAAAATGCCTTCTTTGCTGTCCCTAGTCCTCTCACACATATATATATATATACTACTGAGAATAATTTCAGGTGATGAATTCTATTAGTCCATTGCTGAATTTCACAAATTCCATTGACTGCCTCTTTCAATACAATTTCCCAATAAACTTGCCTATTTTTATTGACTTTTTGAAACCCAACTGGTATTTATTCCTTTTAAACATGAAAATAACAAGGTATCATTTTTCTTGCAGAGATTTCAACAAATACTAGGGTAACAATTTAGGTCAGATGCATCAAAAATATTTCTTGGGGCTTTTTTTCCAAAATCACTTAGCTACTGACTCCCTATAGAAAGATTATTTCTGCCTGTAAAGCAAAGAGAAGTATCCATACCAATGATTTCTACATTCCAACTGCAGCTCTTCAGCTATAACCACAGTTTGAAGGAATATTGAAGGGAATATTATTTGTCTAACATAGAAGTGAAGTACTGTGTATGCCTCTGAAACTAAGAAGTGAAAAATGGACAATTCCCTGACAAGCCACCTAAAGTTCTCATTGTCTTCTGACATTACCTTCATTCTGAGGAATTCAGTAGTCTAGTCAATTCATAAAATTCATTCTGTCCTTCATTTCTTTTCCAAGACTCAAATAACACATTACTAATCTTACAGATTCAGTGTAAAGAAATAGTGTGTGAGACCTAAGATAAGACTTAAATCACTTCACTTTAAACCTTTAGCACAGGCCTATGTAGATTTTTGCTGACTTGTCAGATTTGACTCTCATTAGAAAGTTAAACTTAGGTTTAAAGCTTTTCCAAGTTTAGGGCATTTAGCCTCTCTAATTAATATTTATGTCACTACTCATATTGTTATTTTGTTACTTTCAGTAGAGATTGTTAATTCTCTGACCCAATGCTAATTTGCTGATGACACCAAGTTGGGAGGGAGTGTCAACCTACCAGAAGGCAGGAGGGCTCTGCAGAGGGACCTGGATAGACTGGAGAGTTGGGCTGATTCCAATGGGATGAAGTTCAACAAGGCCAAGTGCCGGGTCCTGCACTTTGGCCACAACAACCCCACGCAGCGCTACAGGCTGGGCACAGAGTGGCTGGAGAGCAGCCAGGTGGAAAGGGACCTGGGGGTGCTGATCGACAGGAAGCTGAACATGAGCCAGCAGTGTGCCCAGGTGGCCAAGAAGGCCAATGGCATCCTGGCCTGCAACAAGAACAGTGTGGCCAGCAGGAGCAGGGAAGTGATCCTTCCCCTGTACTCTGCGTTGGTGAGGCCGCACCTTGAGTATTGTGTTCAGCTCTGGGCCCCTCAGTTCAGGAAGGATATTGAGGTGCTGGAGCGGGTCCAGAGAAGAGCAACCAGGCTGGTGAAGGGACTTGAGCACAAGTCCTATGAGGAGAGGCTGAGGGAGCTGGGATTGTTTAGTCTAGAGAAGAGAAGGCTTAGAGGTGACCTCATCACTCTCTTCAACTACCTGAAGGGAAGTTATAGCCAGGTGGGGGTTGGTCTCTTCTCCCAGGCAACCAACAACAGGACAAGGGGACATGGGCTCAAGCTCTGCCAGGGGAAGTTTAGGTTAGATGTTAGGAAGAAATTCTTTACAGAGAGGGTGATCAGGCATTGGAACGGCCTGCCCAGAGAGGTGGTGGATTCACCATCCCTGGAAGTTTTTAAAAAGAGATTGGACATGGCCCTTAGTGCCATGATATAGTAATTAGAGTTGGATCAGGGGTTGGACTTGATGATCTTGGAGGTCTTTTCCAACCCAATCTATTCCATGATTCTATGATTCTATAATTACAGAGGTGTACAAGTTTATACCTACTCAAAAACTGGTAAAATAGACCAAGTGTCAAAATATATCAGAGTGAGTCTACATAAACTGCTAGTCTTCCAAAAGCCTTACATCTTGTGGAACAGAATGATGCTAAAATACATCGTTGCACAAAAATACTTCTAATGCAAGATACTGCTTTTTAAGTGGAACAGTAGCCTTTTTGAGAAGATTCAGACTTGAAGGTAATGAAATTATGAAATACTTACTTAGCTTTGATCACAACACAATCGTTTTGGAAGAGTTCTTCCTGTCTCACAGCTACCTGAGATGACAAGTTACCACATATACTGCGTAACTCTTCTATTTGTTCTCTTGCCTCTGCTAAATCAGTTTTCAAATTCTGCAAAGAAAGCATTTTAAATGCATTAACGATAATGTATAAGAAATAGTTAAAATCTACTATGCATGTTATCTGTAAAAACAGATATATGGCTGTGCACATACATACATGAATACATTTACTGTGTATATACGAAAAATGTGAAACACCAGAAAAAAAAGGTGTATTTCAAATTTTAGTTGGCCATCTGTTCTTTAAGAAGTTTTCCTTAACTCTGTTTCGGGATGTGGAAGGAGAATCCTGAATCAAATCTTTGCAAAACAATAGTACCCTATTTAATTACTGAATTGATTAAACATTGTTTTTTAAGCAGAAACTCCTCAAAAAAAAAAAAAAAGGCAGCTATACATTCATTGTTTTAAACTCTCCCAAAAATTCACAGTAATGTGTAGATCAACTAAAAAACATAGATAAGATTCATTTTTGAGACTGCTTAAATCTTGCTCTGTTTTTGCGTTGCTAATTCAGCACAAGGAATAGTTTCTTCAGGAAAGAAATACCATACAAGAAAACTTTGGAAGTGCTCTGAAAACAATGCAACCAAGCAAGAGTTTGCCTTTTATCACAAGCTTTACTGTATAAGTTAGTTAACAAACTATGAAGGTGTATATTAGAAATATAGCAGCAAGGCAAGACCTCAGTCTGCAAGACCTCAATCTCTACGTAAACCTTGCTAGAGTGCCTTCAGAGGAGTATATCAGTCCTTAAGAAGTTTTGCATGACTATTCTCCACAAAGTGTTTTGAGGCAAGAATGGAAATATAAATATTACAGCAATATATAGAACAGAGTTCCAGAAGGTGGCAACAGCCTTAGACCTGCTTTGGTATTATACTACTCACAGATGAAATCATTTGTTCTCAGTAAGGCAAATATTCCAGGATTCATCAATAATTTAAAATAAAAACCCCATAGTAGAATAGCGTCCCTAATCTACTGCCAAGAGTATATTAGTTTTCCATTTACATACAGACTTAGTTAAAGAGATAAAAAATGCACATTTTTCCCTTTCAGCAATGACGCTTCAAATATTGAAGTTATAAAAAATGTTTTTATAACTGAAAAGTAAATAATTAATTGTTTCTCTTTAAACATAAAAATGTCTTATACATATTAAGAAGTATCAGAATTGTACTACAATAGAATTCTTTGAACTGGGACAAGAATTATGTCCTGCTAGCAACAGTAACATGGACGTGAGGAAACAGCAAAATTCACAAGTGAATGACATAGGAAAACTGTTTGTTTCTTGATAAGTCTCAAGCTATATATCTGATGTACCCAAGTAATGAGCCATCATTCAATCTCAAAGACTTGTAGAAAGACTTAATTTTTCCTTGAATAATGAAAGATTTCAGAATTATAGGAGATAGTTCACTATCAACACATGAAAGTTTTGAAGTGTACCCATCATCCATTGCAGAATACAACAAAAAGAATAGGTAACAAATGATCTGGCCATAAATACAACTTAAGAAGTTATCTAATGGTAGAATTAAAAAAAATTTAAAAGTATCTTTCAGTACTTCACCTCATTTGTGACATATGCAACTTCAGATTTTGCTTTCAACTAAAAAATAAATCAATTCAATGTTCTGAATGTATTTTGAAACCTTGAGTTTTTTGGGATCATTACTGAAAAACCAAAACATGAAAACAAGGATAGAGAACAACCAGTTATACAAATAGCTTAGGTACTGAGATATCATAAATTGACATACAAAAGCTGTGCTGAATACTGAAATCAGAAATCCAAGACTGAATCATAGAACAGTTTGGGTTGAAAGGGTTAAAAATTCATCTAATCCCAACCACCCCTGCTGTGGGTAGGGACACCTTTCACTAGACCAGGTTGCTCAAAGCCCTGTTCAGCCTGGCTCTGAACACTGCCACGCATGGGGCAGCCACAACCTCCCTGGGCAACTTCCTGTTCCAGTGTCTCACCACCCTCAAAGTAAAGAATTTCTTCCTAATACCTAACCTAACTTTCCCCTCTCTCAATTTTTACCCATTACTCCTTGTCCTATCACAGTTCCTGATAAAGAGTCCCTCTCCGGCTTCCCTGTAGGCCCCTTACAGATACTGGTAGGTTGCTGTGAGGTCTCCAGGCAACCTTCTCTTCTCTGGGCTGAACAGCCCAACTTTCCCACCCTGTCTTCATAGAGGAGGTGGTTCCAGTCCCCTTATTGGCCTTGCAGCCCTTCTCTGGATTTGCTCCAACAGTTCCATGTCCTTCTTATGTTGGGGGCCTCAGAGTTGGATGCAGCACTCCAGGTGAGGTCTCACCATAGCAGAGTACAGGGGCAGAATCACCTCTCTCAGCCTGCTAGCCACATTGCTTTTGATGCATCCCAGGATATGACTGGCTTTCTGGGCTGTGAGCAGACATTGCCAGGGCATGCTGAGTTTTTCATCAATGTCGTATTTTCAATCATGATATAACCTATAATCTTTTACACTCAATTTTCGAGTATCTCCACTTTTTAACATCACAAGGAATTCATTAAATTGCCTTTTTTGTTGATACAGTAGCCAAAAAGGTTCATTGCATAGACCTGCAGACTGAAAATTTACCTAAAAGAAATTTTCATAATCTGGGTTTTCAAATTAAAGTCCATTTCAATTGTACATACTGACTGTTTAGAATTCAATCTTTTAAAGCATATTTTAAAAGTACTATTTAAAACATAAGTCAAAACATCAAATAATTCAGTTATATGAGAAAGAAAATGCCTATTTATAGAAGACAAAGTACAAGACAGTACAAGAAAAGGTGAATTCAAAAGAACTTCAAACATGAAAAGCATAACAAAAATAAGGCATGAGGCAGAACAGTTGTGTACATTACAGACTCACTATGAATTAACACTTAGGTTTTTTACCTGTAGCTTCAAAGCCTTCAAAAGTCACTTTCAAAGACAGTAGCTTTGTTCTCATGGTTTTTTTTCCCCCCATAATATATTATGACAGAAGAGAGCAATTTTTCAAGCTCCCATTTCAACAAAACTCTCCTGGAACTAAAATCCCAGGCTTCTCTTGACAGAGATGGCTGTTTCTTTCGAAGTTCCCACCTACAGACTTTAGAAACTTTAAAAAGTACTGTGCTAACTGGAAATTAAAAACAACCAAAAACCAACTAGTAAGCAATTCCACTACCTTTTAGTTCACCTTCACTTAAAATTTGACAGTCTGACTTTTTTTATCTACACAAAAAGCTTTTTTGTGACTTGAGTTTGGTAAAAAATACATTTTTCTTAATATTAAACAACAGCTTAGGTAACCTTCACCCAAAGAATAAAATAACTCAAATGCCTAATTGATTCTTACACAGGAAGACACATACATGCATAAGCTTGCTGACTGACAACTTTTCCAGTTCTGCACTTTTGGGAGATACAGAAGGTTGATATAAGCCCTGGGAAGCATAAAAGCAGCTCAGAAAGTTCTCAAGAACTACTTTAAGGCAGAAAGCAAAGTCCTACATTAACTTTCTGTACACTGAACCTTATTTGCATGAAGGTACATACAGAAAAGATGAACAATAAAATACTATTATCATCGTTTTAGCCACCTTATCAGGTGTCTCCCTGTTCACCTCTGTCTGATTTCAGCTAATATGACAAACGTTAAAAAGAACAAAAACGTTAAAAGAAACAAAACGTTAAAAGAAACACTCCTTAAAACGACAAACTAGCCATAGCTTTTTCTCTCTCTCAACTTTTAAAAAGTTGAATTTTATACCTGAAGTCAGATTATGGTAGGTTTGCAAAACAACCAGTCTTTGAAAGTGAGAAGTGTTACTTTCCTGAATAGAAAATGATTTAAAGACTGAAAAAAAATGAGCTAGTAACACTTAGTTCACTCTCTGAACAGGGGGCTGGTCACTTTTTCAAAGGAGTAGTCTGTTATTTAGCATTTCTATCGTCTAATACACATTTTAAAGACAATGTTGGAGTAGTTCATATTGATAAGAATTAATTTTATTCTCTCAGATAGAGGAGACTAACACAGTGTCTGTATCAAACATCATCTATAACACTCTTAATTAGCATATTTACTACAAAAAATATGTAAAAAAAAAAGATGTTGATTCAATTCCTAAACTCAAGGCTGAGAGGCAGAACCGACTTTCAGAGGAGCTTTCACTTCTGAATTCAAATGATTTTCATCTATAACCATTTTTTACAATCACTTGAGAACACCAATAGGGACACGTTATGTCGGGTTATATATATAAGAACATAACTGGAACTTAATATTGTGTAGTGTGATAATGTCATATTTGACCTCTGTAGATATGAAAATTATTACATTTTATTGTTTATAATCATTCTGTTAAAAGCCAATCTGGCACTCAATATGAAATAGAAATGAGGAATGTCAAGAACAGAGGAAGAAACTAATTCAAACTGAAACTTAAATTTTCAAGAAAATATTTACAAGAAGGATATATGTAAAAGGTTTAGCAAGCCAAGGTTTAGCTAGGTCTTCTAGGTCAATTCTAGGTCACTGATAAAGATTTTAAACAAGAAAGGTCTAGGATGATCTTACAATACCCCACTTACCACCAGACTATAGACTATTACAACCCATTAACTACAGCTCTCTCAATCCAAATGACCAAATAGTTTCTTCAAACATGTTGTTGTCCACCTATCCAGCTACAACATCCTAACTTGGATAAAAGCATACAGCAAGGCATTGTCAAATATAAGCTAAAGTTAGGGTCAATCACAGGCAAGTTCTCCTCTTGTCTACAGACACAATCATTTTATATAAAAGACAATCAGGTAGGAGCTTTGGTAAATCCATTACTGTTTCTGGTCATGTTCTCCATTAATGCCCAGAAACTACTTCCACGACAACTTTCTTTGTGATTTTCCATGGGACTGAAGTGAGACTAACCAACCTTTCCTCTTGGATTATCCTTTTTATCAGAGAGTTCCCCAATAAAAGTTCTCTACTACTTTTGAAGGACAATAGGTAGCTGCTTGAGAGTGCCATCAGCCAAATCTCCCAGCACCCTTGGATGCAGTTCTTTTCAGGTGGTCCAACAGATGTGTACTAGCTGAATTCTCTCAGGTATCTTCCAACACATCAACTCTTAGTACTTCTCACTGAAGCCTGTCTCTAGGCACAAACTTTTGGAGACATCTTGGAACAGACTGAGGTAAAGATGATATTTAGTACCTGTGCTGTATCTATTACATTCTGTCACTAATTCATCATTCTGTTTCAGAAAAAGGTCCCCATTTTATTTGTTCTGCCTTTTACTGATAAAATAGTGCAAGAAACTCTTGTTAGAACTGTCATTACTTGCAAGTCAACTGCAAGTAGGTTACCACCACCCTCAAGTGCCCAGGCAATGCTTCTGAACACCTCCTCTACAGATTTCACTTCCTGAATACTATTTTCCACACTCACCCTGCTGTCTGTCTGGTGATTAACTCTGTTTAACCCCACTCGTCTCCTGATATATTCACTTGTTTTCCTGAGCATCAGAGTGGACCATATGTGAGCTTGGAGGAAGATGTCTTTGAAGACTTGACATTTTTTCCTGAGTTCTTTATCCTTCAGTGCTCCTTCTCATGGGATTCCACTTACCAGTTCTCTGAACAAGCTGAAGACTCTGTTCCTCACCTCCAGATCTGCTCTACACTATTCTCCTTCCTTCATTGTCTCAGTGTCTTGGTCTTGACAACTTCATGGTAACTATAGCCCAGGCTGCCATTATTATTTTCTTAACCAGTTTTTCCTTGTTTGTAAACAGTAAATCCAGCTGTGTGACATCCCTGGTTGGCTCAGGTAACACCCATTCCCAGAAATAACCTCTGTCATAGTCTAAACAACACCTTGACCTGCTTGTAATGCCACTCTGAAACACCAACACTACTAATTCCCATCCCTGCAGTCACCCGGCTCTGACACACCTTTCCCTCATAAGAGTGCCTCATCAGCCAGGAAGAGAGAGACATAAAAATGACTCTGACTGTGTTCACTGAAGGTATGGGTAACAGATTTCCAGTAATTTATCAAATATTACAAGCACTACATTTGACAACTTGAAAATTATTACATCGGTTCAGCACACACTAGATTCTTCTGTCCCAAGTATCAACAATTTCTTGCCCTGTAAATCCCATAATCCTTTCATGATAACCCTCCGAAGGAGGGAATTTGCAAGAACTTTACTTCCCATGTTAACAGATCTGAATGAAACTCTTTACAAAGGGTTTCCATCAGCACAACAATTGGAAGCATCACCAAAACAACTCAATTGCTAGTGCAAGAAAAAAGGATGTTTCTGGGTGAGGTATTAATTAGATAGTTACTACAATGAATGTACTTCAATAATGTAAAAGAACACAACATTGTAAGTGTACAATTAGTCATTTAAACAATAAGAATCCAATACCTAGATATATATATAAGTAGCTGTCAAACACTAAGATACCATATTTGTGGTTTATTTCTTAGAGGAATTTAAAAAAATGCTAGTCAATTTTCACCAGCAAACAAGAAAAAGTATAATTTAAATAAAAAATATTCTGTACCATGTATTCAATTATTTTCTTTTTTGTTTTCTCATAAACAGTGAAAATAACTTTTTAATATATTATAAGCAATAATAAGTTCTCTCACAGAATGGAGACCTTTGGAGGCTAGCACACAATTTATTTGAAATTACTCCTAAAATTTAAAGTGTTCTTCTAAAACAATTATGAAGAATACTGCAACAAAAGTATAGGTAAGCAAATTACACATCAAGAAAAAATTCGTGATAATACTTTTAAGCTTTTATTATTTCAGATATATCTTAAAGTGCAGTATCTTTTATTTTTTAATGATTACATTTTAAGATTACTATTTGAAGTCAGATTCCTGCTTTGCAACATCAATTTTTAAAAAGCTGTGGGTCTTAAGTGAAGGAATGTAAATGAATGCAAGTCCCCACTGATAGATTTGAATATATAACTTGCTATTTAAAGAAAATAACTTGTAGTGAAATGTCTGGAGAAGTTAATTCTGTAATAACATCCAGGAGTCCATTCCAATTCGTACCTTTATTATGGCATCATTGCCAGATTTTTCCATCTTCCATTGTGCCTCCTGCTTCCTCAGTTTCTCCAGGTCACTTAGCAGGTCAGCACAGCATGTATTTAATCCCTTATTTTCCTCCTCCAGGTTTTTTATAACCAGTCTGTTTTGCTCTTCCTTCTTCTGTGCACACTCCTCAGTGTCCTGTAGAACAGTACCACAAGGGCCGATAAACAAAAAAAGTGAGAACTAATCAGCAAATATAAACTGTGCAGTTTTACCCTCACAGCAGCTTCTTCTATATTTGATGGCCAAGGTCACCTGTGTACTTTTATTGGCCTCTTTCATGCAGGTGGAAGGGTCATATTTTTTAGCTGGATGACAGCTTTGATGAGTACACATTTGCAAAGAGCCCATTAATTGATCAAGCTGCCTTTGATGCTGTCCCCAGCTATTTTTGAGACCCACACAGACATATCCTCCCAGACCTCGGCTTTATCAATTAATAATGCCAGTCCCATCAGAATCTAATTACAAGAAGCCACATCTTCACACTCCTACTTTCTTTGCTCCACTTCCATCATTAACTATTTATCTGAAAGTTATAAAGCTTGGATTCTTGGCTTTAAAGCATCTTCCTCAGAGTTGGTATGTGAGAAAATGGTAAGGTATAGCAAGGCCTAAGGCAATTTTTTCTCCAAGCTTGTCACTTTCTGTGCCACAAAGGCTGACATTGCTTAAAGAACTGCTTCAAAGCTACAGTCTTAAGAAACGATGTACAAGTCAATATACCTTAAGTTCTTGGCTTTTATCTTTAAATTTCTGGTTCAAGGTAGTGAATTCATTCTTCAAACAGGCATTTTCCTCCTCCACAGCATTTTTTCTCTGCATTAAGTTGTTTATCTCCTGGCGTTGTCCTGTGAGTCTCTATTTAAATTTAAAAAAATAAAAAGGTGTTCATAGACAAAAAGCAATTGCAAAATGGGATGCATGTCCTGTGTTTTAGACCTATGAAATGTAACTATCTGACATATATAGTTTTTACAGCATTGTTTTAATTTCATTAGTACTTTAATCATACTCAAAACTAAATGACTGTATGACACAATAACATAAATGAGGAACCCCATAGCTTACTGCTACTGAACAAAGAAGTCGATAAATGCAAAACTGAATGGAAATTACTCAGTGAAGCTCATTTGCAGAAGTTTCATCTGTGTTTACATATTTAGAACAAAATTGAATATTGCTCAACTTGAACTTCTAGCACACGAAAAATCAAGTCAAAGAGCTGAGTTCAAAATTCTCCAGAATTTTGATAGTAATTAGAAATTGCTTTCAAGTAAAGCTACCAAAAAGATTATGATACAAAATAGTTGTAAAGAGAGAATTAAGTCTAGCTGAATTTGCAGCTCAAGGAAAATAATACAATAATAAAATAATATAACACTGCTTAATGCATACAGCAGTTCAATGTAATCACATATGATAAAATCTCACTGCCATAAAAAAAGAACTTCAAGTTTCTGTGATAAATACTTGTATTCTATTCCTATGACATTTGTATTAAAACACCCTCACTCTTAAATGCATATTAGAACTCCTCATTTTTCTCCAGGAGTCTATTTTTAATTCTACATACAGTTTTTGTCATGCCTCTTCTTAAATCAAAGGGCATTAATCTTATATTTTCCTAGCAGTGACACTATAACTGTAGTACAAAACTGATTAAAATTTCATGTCAGGACAAAAATGTAACTGCTCTGCCTTTAACACACAGGCTAAAATGAATGTGTTCAGAAATATAAAAAATTATCAACAGGATGGTACACCTCTAGAATAATCTACAATATTGCTGATAACATATGTAAGGGGTTTTGGCGCTCAAAGGTTACATCTGATTCACAGGTATGTAAAACATGAAAAGAAATTAAAATTTTCAGGGAAAAAACACACAAAACAATACATTTGAAGTCATACTTTCACTGTTCAAAATAAAAGACATTTGTGCTTCAGATATATTATTAAGGTTGCAGGAACTGAGAGCTGCTGCTGAGAGATGATTTAGGTGAATTTTTAAAAAGTTATGAATCCACACTACTATGGAAAGCATCGGTTATTTTGTGTGTTGCCCTCCCACTCCCCAGGTCCTCACATAATTTGAGTAAGCAGCTCCTTTGAGTTTTCCTGCCAGCTCATTACTACTTGTTTAACATTTATCAAGACAAAGCATGTATCTGAAGCACTCCCTTAAAAATTCCACCTATCTGAAAGAGACTGTTCGCTCTGAGCTAAAAATTCATAAATACACACACTTATAAAAGCTCCAGCTCTTCAAGGATCTAATTTTTGAGTACAGAGCTACATCATGTTACTATTTAGTTTCATTATCTACTGTGTAGAAACTGGTAAGCACATGTATATTTGTGATGTGAAATCAAAGATATTTAGGTTCTCTTTGGAATGGGATACTTTCCAGCAATGTAAAGGATGAACGGAGACGTGAAGGTACAAAGTGCTTCTAGCTATTTCAAATGTTTGTTCTGTATTGCTGAGATTAAATTTTCAACAGAAATAAACTACTTACTCTAAATACTTTTCAGGATAATCAGACAGATTATCCTGAGTCAGACTTCCACACAAATTACTTATCTCCACAACTGACCCCCTTAATACTTTAAATTAATCAAAAGGCAAATACACCACACCAATTACTAAGCAGCAAACTCACCGGATAGTCTACAAAGTCATCTACTGCAGCAGAAGTGAAATATTATCTAAGTAAGTTACACTTGCATAGAAAAAAACTCTGTTATGTTTCAAAGCATTTTTCTTGGGTTACCACTTTGCATGCTCTTATCTTTTCCTCTAAATGAATTGAAATTTTACTCTCGTATCTGCTCATTTCACATTCTTATAAAGAAGGGAAAAAACCCAGAAGCATTACTTGGGAAGTATGACTGGGCAGAAATAAGGGTCATAGAAAGAATTTCTCATACAGACAAGTAAATTATCGTCTGCCCTTGCCTGTGCAGCTGTTTTGGTACGTTGCTTCCTCAACATACAAATTACCTCATATAATAGGAGAAATAGAGTAAAGACTGATTTCTTAAGCAGAGAACACAAGCATTGTTCCTAAAAGACTACCCTATTCTGACAGGCAAGTGAAACACCAAGAAAGAAAAACATACCTGATCAACATACAGGGTAACCTCCTACATGAGGTTATTTTAACAGATTTCACCAGGTAACACACTCACCAGGAATTCGTCTATTCCCACAGTATCTACTGGTGTTTGTCTAGATACCATAAAGACAGAATAATGCTACATAAAAACAATCTCAGCTTACACTTTGTGTTGACTCAGTTGTACCTGTTCGAATACAACAGGATAAAAGAAATGTTTGACACCTTCATGCTCAAGAACCACAGCGGTGTTGGATCAAGGGTTGCACTTGATGATTTCAGCGGTCTTTTCCAACGCAGTTGATTCTATGATTCTATGACAACTAAAACAGCTGAAGTACACTTCCAAAGGTTATTCCATAGACAAACTTCCAAGAAAGAAAACTCTATTCTAGACATGAATTTTCTCTAATGAAAACCAAAAGAATCTGATTTTACTCTTTTGTTTACCTGGGAAGAATCAAAGAGTATTCCCTCTATACTGCGGGCACCCTAAGTGCTGCAGGCAACAGTACATACAGTGAAAGAAATACTGTGACCTGGTGGAGCAGACCTTTTGATGTTTAAGAGGACTGTCATTCCAGAATTCATTTTTCTCCTTTCCCATGGCATCTCTTAACTACAGCACAATACAATTTTTCTTCTTCCATAATAATGTTACATTGTTTACTGGAAAATACTACTTTTTTAAATACCTTCATATCAATCTGAAGAGGAAGCAAAATAACATACTAAGTCAAATAGAGGAAAGCATGAAAATGATAGATCAAAACTGAAAGGAGAAATTAACCCTTTTTTGTCTTAGTTCTGACTACCTCAGTCTTTTCATGGTACTAGGATGTTAAAATTATTTGTTCATATTTTATGTGAACAGATATAAAACAGAAGCTCTAAAATTAGAACCTCATTTCCATCTATAGCAAATTCAGACAGTATAGACATGGGAAGGTGGGAACCAAAACAACTTAAGACTAGGAGTCTGATTCCAAAAACAATGTGAGTTAGCATACAATTACCAGAAGTTACGTACTGTTTGATGTTGCAGACCCAATCACTGAAATTATAGTCTTCAGTGAAAGATTTTTTTAATCTGATAAATAAAAAGCATGCAGAAAGAACTATGAAACAACAGTTGTATTTGCTATTACTGCATTAAGTATTCCACAAATTTTTATATTTTGGGGGTCAAGGCAGGGGAAAAACTAACTCCTACCTCTGTATTTTGAAATCTGATCAGACTGCACTACTAAATCAGTATTGCATACCTGCCTCTATATGAGTTCACAAATTGCAGATAAGAGCAGGTTTTACTTCACAACAAGTTAACTCAAACTAGAGTGAAAACATCTAGCAGAAATACAAGGCTGACATATATTCTTCAATGCTAACAATGCTACCAACATACAAATACAACAACACACTGGCTGCTGAAGTGCTTCATGAAAAAACTCAGATCTCTGCACCACAATATTAAGTTGTCCTTTTGCAACTGCAACAAAGGAACATGCATTTGATTTCCACTACTGAAAGGATCAGGGTAAAAATAAACACTATATTCTGTACTTTCTTCATTGCACTCTTTATCAGAAGCTTTCACTGTGCTGTAGTCCCCTTTTAAAATACCACATGAAAAAAAGTAAAAATTAATACAAACTGATGAAAAATTGAAATATTTTCTCAGAAGCACTGAATTTAAAGAAATCCTGACATCTTTAGCGGAAACTAAATTAATTTAGGATTGAAATTATTTTATTAAAGCTTAAATGTGAGAATATTGTTTCTTTCGCATTTTTCTTTCCGTCAAAATTTCAACTTCAACATGTTGTGACTTATTCCCTCCCTTTCATCATCTTTTTCCTCACCAAGTAGTTGAGGTTGACTTACCACACTCTTAACTTCTTCCACTTTCTCCTTTTGTTTCTAGCAGAAATTGAACAATAAGTAGACATCACTAAAAATGTGCCAGTAACATATCAGAGCTTCCTTTGATTTAGGTTTCTTAAATCTCCCTTTAATTTCACAACTTTATTAGTCCTCATTGTTCTAAACTTGAACATTCATATGCATGTTTAACAAGTAACAGTCAGTTGTATTCTCATACAGTTCTCCCAGATAAAAAAAGAAAAAAAAACCAATAAAATGAACAATGAAATCCACTCTCTTTCATCTCATGACTATTCATTAGATTCTTTAATTATTTTCAGATGTAGGATGAACAGAAGTTCCATGTAAATAATTCATGAAAAGGTAACCATATGCTATAAAAGTCATCTGCTGCATTCTGCAGCCTGTAGTGTCCTTCCAGAGTCAAAATGACATTAGGTAGTTATAATATAAATCAGAAGTTATTTTTAAATCCATACTGCTCTGAAAGTAAAATGCCAACAGTGCTACCTGATTCTACAGTAGACAGATTGCAGAAGATACCTGTATTCACAGCTAACTATTCAACTTAGAACTTGACTCCCAACAAGGATGAAAAACCAAGGAAAAATAGCAATTGACATATAATGAGTTAAAATGTAACTCATGCAACATATTTTGAATGCATATCCCATTATTAATTCCTATTTTTCATACCTAACCTTCTGCTAGAACAATCTTAAATAAATTAAAAAAACAAGCACAAATAGAGAGTAATTAAAGTAGGGGAGCTCATTGGATTTTCATACTAGCAGAAGTTGGTTTGTTCTTCCTCATCCAATCCCATGCTTTCCAGGATTCCTTGAGAATAAACAAT